GAGATGATCTTGGAGTCAATTCTTAGTTGCATGTAGTTATTTTGGTTAAGAATGAATTGCTTATAATCTATGGTTGTGACGTCTGTCTTGCATGTTGGAAATTTTATGGTTTTCAAGTGAATGAAGCCCAATTTGTGAATTTGTCAAGTATAGAATTCACCACTGCGCTAAGTGCAACTTCAAGGCACCAGGCGTGATGCAGGTTAGAGGCTTTCTGTCTCACTGAAATTGAACACAACATTGGTAATGTTGGGCGTGAGCTATAGGAGAGCTCTCTCACTTGCTCATGTCGAGCCCTAGTTGAGTGGCACAAGGTGTGATTAAGACAAAAGCCTTCTACCTAGATGACGCTGAACGCTAGTGTTGTGACACCGAACGTGAGTCAAATAGAGACTCTCTACTTGAAATGGGGTTATACGTAGGTTTTGCTATGCTAAGCATGATTGATAAGAAATTTTTTCCACATTCATGTTGGGTGTGGGTAATTTGGTGCCAGGCATGGGCAAGTTAAAGGCTCTTTACCTTAATGATGTCAGATATGATAAGGATGGCCTTTGGCATGAATTGCAAATTGAAAATGTGTTGTTTAATTGACTAGGTGTTGAGTATGTTTGTGATAGTTGGATGCCTCACATGTTACATGTTGTATGTTGCTATATGAATCTAATGTCTTGTATATGGAGTTTGAATGATATATGTGGATATTTAAGTCGCTGAAAGTTGTAAGTTGTAAAAAGTTGAAATGTAGCAGGAGTTGTATGTTATGTAGTGTTGAGTAGTTGTGTTGAAAATGCTTAAGAAATTGTGTTGAGTTATGTTGATTGACATAGACAAAAGGAGAGGTGTTGGTTTTAAAATTGAATATTCCATTATGAGGATGTGGTGTTGTAATGCATTATGATCCCAATTTTTGAAAACTCTTCTTGAGAAATTAACTTTTTAAGTGTAATGTTGAGTCACCTCTAGAACCTTAGTTGATACAATATGAGGGTCAGGTCAAGCCATATGTGTATAAAGCGACCAATATAATTTGTGTGGTGTCAAGGTCAAACTATATGTTTACAAAGAACTAAAATTGAGTAAGGTAAAAGGTTTGTGGCCAAGATTCTTAACTAAGTACTGGAAGGGGTATAGTATTTGGAGAATAGTCAGCATGCTAATCTCATAGGAGGTTTAATTATGCATGCTAAGATCTTGGTAAACTCACACCCAAATTACTTTATCCTAACAAGAATATTAGACTTTTTTAGTTTAAGTGGCAAAATTTGAAAAATCATGTTATGTTGTGGAATTTTATCCAAATTAGCTGTCAATGTAGCTAGTCCAAAAAAGATCGCGTTGTTAGTTGGTTTAGTAGGGTCAAGCATCTTAGACTGCCCATCTGTGTTGTAAAAAACATTTTAGTTGAATGTGTGAAGATACATATAGTTGTTATGTTGTGCATATGATGTTTTGATTGTGTTGAATGTTAAGTTGGGATGTTGTTGTAATGAACAATCGTATCTTTTTAAAGTTGAAACCATGATGAGTTGTGTTGTATGGTTTACACGTTGATGTGGGTAGTTGCTATGTTGATTTCTATAGGTTTACCTTTGCATGTTTCCTTGTGATTGAACTGTGATGATCAAACTTTATATGGGACAAGGGAAAGGATATGCTTAAGGAGGAGAACTATTGGGGCCATGTTATAGGATGGTGAAGTTCTTTTGGTCAATTTTTTTGTAGTTATTGCTTGACCGACAACTAATATTTTATGTTTTCAATTGGATTCTTGTAGATGTGTGTGTACATGATGTGTGGTATTTTCCCATTGGGAAAGTGTTTTATATTTTCAATACATATTCATATACATATATTATTACATGTATATCCAGGAACTGCTTGTATAGTAATTCTAGTTAGTCAAATTTATGTTTTTTTGTTACTAATTATTGAGCTGTAAAGTGTAGAGACTCGTCAAATCATTATAGTAAATATTTGTTAAAGTATAAAATTTTAAATAAAAAGGCAGGAAATAAAACAAAACTATTTTAAAAAAAACATATATGTATATTAAAAAATAATTTTGTAACATATATTTACTAAACTAAATTACTTTATATATAATTAAAATTATTTAAAATATTTTTGAAGTGCAAGCATCCACATATACAAATACCTTATTATTCGTCTACATCTTATAATTAAGCATATATTTATTTAATTATTCATTAAAATCCATAATAATTTTTATCTTGTGGATATTCACAAATATTTTTTTTAACCAATCATTCTAATTATAATTTTAACAATTAATACATAAATATTTAGTTATAAAATTAAAAATGCAAATTTTATAACTAAAATTTCAGAATTAAAGATTGAGTGATTAAAATGCAGATAGAATATTACATGAAACTAAACGGGCAATTTAACAAAAAAAAAAAAATATTAGAGAGAATGTTTCCTCTGACTTGTAATACCATAAAGTTTCTCTTTTTATAAGTGTGTTTTTTTTTTCCCTTAGCACAAGTTTGTCAGTTACTGTCATTGCATGCTTTACATGAAAATATGTTTTAAAGGCTTTTTATAAAGCTGGGAAGCACCACAATACTTTGATTCTGTGGCAGAAAGAGCAACTTCTTGCTTCTACAATTTGAAAACCTTAGGATATGTGCAACCTCAAGATAAAAGTAGGGTCCCCTTTTACTCAATCACTTGATGGACTCATTTTTTATTTTATTATTATTATTATTATATGATCTATTACTTTAATTAATGCATAAGCTTCTCATATGCTCTAACCTAATTAGATTTATTTACTGTATAAAGATTGTGTGATTGATCTTCTATAATTAATCAAATTTTAGCTTACCCTTAACTATAAAGTACTTTCAGTAAAATTTAAAATTATAGAATTGAGTCTGTCCTAATAAAATTTATTCTGCCATGTGCTAGTTCTTTAGTTGCTAATTAAGTTATTGTTGATTTTTGGAATTTTGTGTAGGTTTGGTAGATGTTGAATTGAATTGTATCGTTTTGTCTTGATGTTATCTAATTGATTTGTGTATTATGATTTAGGAACGAGGGATAGAATGATAATATATATATGAACTTGAGACAAAGATCTTCCAGTTGTTAATTAGGTATAAAAAGGTTATCTCAAGTGATTTGACAATTATCTTTTTTAATTAATGATTTGAGTTAAAATTTTGATTTCAACATGAAACTATAATTGAAAATAACATTTTAATTCTTTTAAGAATCAATTTAATGAAAAAGAGTTACATCTTTTTATAATTTTTCTAATTAAGTTATTAATTGTTCATGTAAAGTAAAAGTTATGGGTTCGAATCCTGCATTGTGTATGCAGCCGCGTTAAATTTTGAGACTAGTTATTCCATCTTTTGAAGTGCCTCCAACATAGTAAAAAGATTAGTCACTACTATTAACGATGGATACTTTAAGGGTGAAATTTTTTTTTTATTGTTTATCTTAATTTGCAATCTCATGTTATTTTGATAGATGATAGATTGAATTGCATCGATTTATTTTAATGTTACCCTATTGATTTATGGATATGTTTTTTCTTATTTTTTTTTATCCCTTGTTTTGTGGATATGTAGGAAGACAGAATGACAATATATCTTTCTTTTTAATCAAATCTTTTCCTTTTTAAACTTTTTTCTGTTGAAAACAGACCAACTGAATCTGATAGTTCTTCATCAGATTTAAAGCATGTGGATCTTTTTAAAATGTGTAGGGCACTTAGAAATACACAGGTTCAAAATTACTAAATCTCTCTTGTAAGTAAATACTTAGCAGAAAAAAAAATAAAAAAGTAAAATAAATTATTTTTTATATATTAAAATTGATTTATGTATTTTAATTTTTATATAATTTTAAAAGGTAAATAAAAGAGTTATAATAAAAATTGAAGTGCATGAAATAATGAGAAAAAATGATTTATTTTCTTTTATTAACTTTTTTCTATAAGTGCTTTTGATAGTTTTATTAAAAACTTAATGCATTTGACATTCTTATTTTTTTGTTCTATAAGAAAATGAGAGAGTTCCAATAAAAGTTGAAGTAAATAAATGGATTTTAACATGTGTGAGGAATTTAATATATTTTATCTTATTAACTTTTCTCCTATTCTAATAGTGCATAAAATAACATGGATAAAAAAAAGACACTTTATCTATTTCAAAAATCCAAGCTAAACTAATATTATTACATTCTATATTTTGATAATTTTTTTTTAGTTAAAGATAAATTGTCAAAGTTCGTAATTTAAATTAATATTCAGAACACGATAATATTTTTATATTAATAATTTTTTTCAATTTCTCATTTTCTCTTGTTAAAATATCTTTTAGTATAAATTTTTAATTCTAAATTTGTCTTTATTGTTAAAAAGAATGTTTAAAATGTATATATTTTATCTCAATTTTGGCTCCGTCTCATGACAACTTTTTATTAGTCAAAATATTATTGAATTTAAGAAATTAGTCAAATTAAAATACCAACCAATGTATCATAATTGCAATAAACCAAAGTCAAAAGAGTGTTAGAATGTAACACATTTTTGACAAACTTCTTTTAACACATTCTTTATTTATTTTGTGAAAAATTTAGTATTACAAAATAATGTGCGAAACTCATTAAATATGAAAGGTGACCTACAAAATTACACGATTTTTAATAAATTCTAGACAATAATTTTAAATATATATTACAAAATTATGAGTTGTGTGAAATTCATATACTGTGTATGGAATAGGTGTTGTGGAGATCATATAATGCGTCCGGATTAATCACTTTGGGTGTTCTTTTGTTCTAAAATAAAATAAAATCCAGATTAAGCAAGGGTATTTTGGGAAATTAAAAGTTTGGACAGGTGTATGGAGAAACATGAAGGGTGTAGGGAGCAAATTTCTGGAAATTGACTTGATGGGTAACATTTGAATGGGCCACTAGCCGACCCAAATAGGTTGGGCTTTAGACAACCCATTTTTCCGACACCAATTCCATCTCCACTCTTTCGATTCTTATCAGTTACTCATCTTCGTTCTTTACCTCCCTTAGTGACAGCGAGACGGTTAGGGCAGAGTTGCACACACTCAAGGTATGATGATCAATGTCCAATTTGTAAAATTTTGTGTTTATTTAAAAATCTATGTTATCTGTTTCAAAATTATTGCATGCTATCGTATTTTTCCCCCTTAAATTCGTACAAATACGCCTTCTGATTTTCGGATTGACAGTCTAAGATGTTGACATCGATTACGCTTTGTATATTATCACCCTTTGATTTGAGTTTGTTACTCATAGGGGATCATTTAGCTGAGAATAATGCTGATTATGGAAATAGTTTTGTGAGGTTGGATTGGTGCTATTTGCTTATGTTAATTTGTTGGGGGACATTATGTGTTGGTGGAATTGATTTATAGTTATGCGCATTGTGCAATTTTCTTATGAATTGTGATGCTTTCCAAAGAGTACAGGGTACCAAGTCTACCTTGTTGGCCGCTCCTTAACTTATTTTTTTGGTATTCTCTTAAATCGAATTTGATGGAAGTTTTTATGGTGTGTTTGGATATGAGATTTTAAATGTGCAATTTTTTGGTATTCTCAGGATTTTAAAATGTAATTTTAATTAACTAAAGTTTTAGAATTGTAAATTCCTTCCAAAAACAAAGAATTTTAGAATTCTCGCCCTCGCTTGCTGATTGTTGTTGTCCTCATGCGCTGAGTTTTGCTCGAGGTATGCTTGTTTTCGCTCCTTGAGCTCACTCTTTTTCCTGTCTCTCTCTCCCTCTCTCATCTCTACATTTATTGCTAGGGTTTGTTGATTTAGATTTGGTCCTAGGATATTTTTTTTATTTGTATATTACTATATTTTAGATTTTGATTTTGTGTTCTTCTACCGTGACTACTTTAGGATTTTTGAACTCAAAGCACATGAATTGATAAGCCTCCTTATCATCCTTGCTTGCAATTATAATTTAATGTTGTTATGTATTTGAACTGTGACATTGAATCATAGCTTGTAAAGCTTTGTGCCACTTATGGTGTTCTTGGGCTCCATCTTGATGAACTGATTGCAGGTGTGTAAGTCATCATGACTCATGAGCTTATTATTAACTTTTCTTCACAGAATAAATCAGTTTCTTCTTAAATATGGCTAATTCAGTACCATATATTCTTCAGCTTAGATAAATAGCCATTCTTCACCCAATTAAGTACATCTAATACTGGTGGCAAATCATATTTATTCCTACCTCTCACACTGTTTAACTTGTTGTGGCCTCTAAGCTGGTTGCAACTAAGAACCAGGGGGTGCTCTTGCTGATCTAATGATATTTCTTTTTCCACTGTCAATAAAATTAATATTGTAATTTTGGATTTCCGGAGGAAGATCATGCCCTTTGGACCTGGGCATACTGAGTTTTCTTCCATGTTCATGTGTGTCTTATGTTTCTAGTATTTCCTCTTTTAGTCAAGACTTGTGACTGGTTGGTCAAAATTGTTGGTGCGTAATAACCACCAAGTCATAAGAGCAATATTAGGATATAACTGGTGGTTTTTGCTACATTTTATTACTTCTAATGAAACTGTTGGTTCCAATGTAATTAAATTAATATAATGTCGTCCAACAATGACTAGACTCTACTGGATCCAAAGGAGGGGTTTCTTTGAGTACTTGTTTCTCTGTTGCAGCAAATCCCATTAGTACAAGGTCATAGGGTGATGGAATTTGGTGAAGTATGAAAGTTGCTGAAATTCTATTCTTTTCTATATTTTGACAGATATTGTCATTTCATTAGTGATCCTTCTGGATAAATGTTCTTCAATTGATGGGTATGAATGGGCTAGGTGTTTTGGACTTCAAGAACAAAAACGATACACAGCACAATTCACATCAGTTTCCCTCTGTAGTGTATCGAATCACAAGAATTGTTTCGCAATTCATGCGATACCAACTACATTCTAGGATTTATCCAAATCTGTGTTCTTAGTTTCCAATTCAAAATTAGTCAGCTATAATTTGAGCAAGCTTGGTTTTGTATCTTAATTCTTGTTAAAAGTCCCCTCTGCCCCCTTTATTTTTTGGGAAAAGGATTTGGTTCCTCTAAAGTGAACAAGGGGATTATTTGCTCCCTTGGAAAAATGATTTCTGCTGTAAGTATTCTATTTTTACAGCTAAGGTAATTTACCTACCACAATGATTTGATTCGTTTTTAAGGATATTCATATCAATTATGTATAGAGTAGTAATCTGCTTGAAAGGTGCAGTTTTTTTTTCTTTCTTGTTTTTTAAATTTTTTCACAAGTTGCCGAAGTTGGAGGTTTTGAAATTTCTGCTAGGTCCTCATGCTGATTGCTAGTTATTGGAACAAGACTGAATATGGATTGCGCTTTCATGAAAATAATTTTGAAGGCGCAGTGAACATATTTTCAGACACCATCTGCAGGAGTTTCTGGACAGTTTAGAATGCTATTGCTAATGGAGCTTCATGTTTTAAGATAGTCCGGATAATCTTGGGATGTAAGCATTTACATATATGTGCAATGGAAAAAAGTGCAAAATTGTCTCCTATAATAACAAAATATCTTTCTGGGTCTTTTTATCCATTGTCAATGTGTAGTTTTGACATGCAATACTTTTGTATTCAGTGTGCTTTTGATATTTGGGAACTTTGTATAAAGTTATTGTGGAATAGGTTTTGAATTTGAATGTGCTTTTCCAGTTAGACTGCTCACAACACTAGCATTGTTAGGCTGCACCTCGTTTTTTTTTTCTCTTTACCTTGTGATGAGGTAAAATCTCACAAATATTATAATTTTGAGCCAGCGAAGCAATGGCATGGAGAGGACATCTTTCAAAAAACATAAAAGAGCTTCGGTTTTTGATGTGCCAGTCATCACCTGCAAGCTCATCTGCAAGGTTATAAATAAATATTTAGCTTTTGTTGTGCAGATTTTTCTCAGTGTTGTTTTCAATTTATATATTTATATGTATTGTTTGGTTGCTTCGGGTGTGTTTGGGAAAAAGTTACGTTCAACGTAACTTACTTTTAATCAAATGGGACAAAAGAGTTACTTCTCCGTTTGGTGCATTGGAATGTGTAAAAGTCTGTTGAATGAATTTCAAACGATAAACCAAACACACACTTAGTTATACTTACATCTCATGTATTTGAATATAAAATAAATGAGCTCTTATTCTTTTTTGATATCTCAGGGCATTTGTGGAAAGAAATTATAAGGAGCTAAAGACATTGAACCCAAAATTGCCAATATTAATTCGTGAGTGCAGTGGAGTTGAACCTCAATTATGGGCAAGATATGGTATCAACCATCTTAAACCTCATTCTTATCTTTTTTATTTGAATTTTTCACCTTGTTATTTGCAGTCAAATTCTATATTATCATTACCAAGCCTTTCCCTTCGTAGTTTTATCATAAGAACTTAAAGGATTTTATAAATTGACATTAGTGCACTAAGACTGAAAATATGTTAATCTGCATTGTCCCCTTAATTTCATATTTGGGCCACAAAGCTAACAAAAATAATAGTATTAGTAGTTGGAAAGTAAATTTTAATATTATCCCTATTTTGACTTTTATCCACAAGCAAAATAGTGCATACTTTCTTGCATACATGCTGAATTTATATAATGTGGCTGAAAGTTCAGCTGTACATGTGTTGAATCTGCATGGCTGAAATCTCAGCCAACTGAATCTATCCATACAGTATTACACATCTTTCATTAATATGTCTGACTTGTGGGAGAATAATTTTATTGGGACGAGGTTGATGCCTTCTGCAATCTGTAGGGTGCTTCAATTTTTGGGCAAAATTGATACTCAAATACATCACACGTTTTTATTTAGTTGTAAGAAATACTCTCCTGTTGCTCACTGCTAAATTATCACTGAAAGAAATTATGTTATCGTTTTTTTAAAATATTTTCTCAACAATCTGTCTTACGTATTGTAAACAAAATAGGTATGCTTGACAAATTTCTTAGGAGGCGAGAATCTTAAACAAGGAACCTGAATATTGCACTTGCCTTAAGAAAGGCACGAAAGTTACAGATAACGGCCAAGTTTTGATTAGCTTCTAGCTTATGAGAGATTTTCAATTCTAAAACTCAACTGTTAAATCATTTATAGGGCGAGAATTCTAGTTTATACATAGGTGCTTATGGAAAAATCAGACAAGGGAGCTTCTGATAAGGTTGAGATACATAAGTTGATCTTAACTTAGGCGAACAGTTTGATTCTATATTTTACTTTTATTCATTTTATTTTCTTCACCTAAAAGTATTTGTTGAGAAATTCATCCAAATTAGGTCCATGTCAATATTATCCATCTTTGATGAACCTTTTTTATTTGCAGTAAACCTGTTTGTGTTGAACCCTAATTATTGTTTCTTAATACTAGATTTGGGTGTTGAGAAAGGCATCAAATTGGAAGGCTTGTCAGAGGCACAGATCTTTAAGGCACTTGAAGATCTGGTAAAAGCAGGATAGTCGTTGAAAGTTTGACATTGCTGCTTATGCACTGTCTGAAATGGAATAAATGCTCTGTTGCTGCACTTGTTATTGCAAGTTTTTTGTTTTGTTGTTTTTTTTTTTATTTAAAATAAGCCAGATTTTTTTCTTCAATGTCCCATGGCCTCTGGTTTCAGCTTGTCTCTTTCTGCATCTTACGTCATTTCAAGTATGACACTGTCGTGTTCAAGTTTAAAATCCTGATTTTGTTTGTTGAGCACACCATGGGAGATTTTTTCAGACAAAAAAAATTAAACTACTAATTTTGGTTTATATGACTATTGATCTATGTCAAAGGTTGATTTGCCAGAAAACTTAATTCTGTATAGGCTCAGGCATATATAATTGGGTGTAACAATAACCAAGCATAAACCGATCTATGATATTTTCTCCTTCGATAGTTTTCAAGTTGCTCAAAAGGTTTATTTACTTGTTCATGTATGTTCCGTCTAAAATATAGAAAATGAAAAGATTGGGGGCAATGTATTTATTTACTAACGATTTTAACATGAGTTGTAATTCCTATAAATTATGTTATGAACTGATAATGTTTACTGAAAAGTAACTGTTAACATCTAAAACCTTTAAAATTTTCAAAAAACTTAATTTTGAAGTTTTTATCCTCGATATGGACTATAAAAGTAGTTTTCACATTCTCAGGTCATTTACTACATGACAGGTTTACTAACCTGGGACCATGAGTTAAATCTTTTATTTTCATTGATTGAAGAGGACTCAAAAAGAGATGACAAAGCCATAACGAGTGTAGTTCACATAGATTTGATATAATATGGTACACTGACATCAGTAATTGCTTAAACAATTAGTGAAGTCATTTCTCGAAGGGCTATTAATATAGAATAATTGCCTTAATGTTCTTGTCACCGATCTCTCTCACTAGAAATAATGAATTTTTAAAGTAATTATTATATTATGTTATAAAAGGGAAAAGTTGTTAATAATAAAATTTTTTTCTTCAAATATTTGACAAAAATATTACTAAAGGAGTTTAATTGGGTAAAATCTCCGATGTTATAAAGAGAGGGTTTAAGTTTCTTAAATCAATCAAGTTGAGTACTAAATGAATGAGAAGTTGTGTCTACTGTCAACAGTTTTTACGTGAAAAGACTCTTATCAAGTGTGTCAGCATTTTTTGCATGAAAAAACTCTTATCAAATGCAATTGAATCAAGATATGCAAAATTTACTCATTTCTTATTGTCTTGTCATTTAGTAAGATTCAAACAGATCGACCACGTTGACAACCCATATGTCCAAATATTGACAAAATAATGTTATATTTTGTATTATTGTTTTAACACTATCTTTAATTATCTCGTCTAGAGTTAAATCTCTATAATATGATATATACATTACAAATACCAATTGTAAAAACTTTAATTTCTCAATAAATTATTTCCATTGTAGTAATTCTATTTAGAAATAAGGTTGTTATAGCATATACATATAACTCAATGTGGCACTTAAAAATAAAGAATGAATTTTTTTTTTAACTTATATAATATTATCACATAACATTTATTTTAATTATTGTTATAGCAGTGAACAAAAATGACAATACAAAAGTTAGATTTAAATATTCAAAAATTCAAGAAACATAAGTTTAGAAAAAATTGGCTTAAATATATTTTTACTTTCTATAAAAATGATAATTTTGATTTTAGTTCCTCTAAAATTTTTTCTTTATTTTTCATCCTTCTAAAATTTATAAATATTATTTTTAGCCCTTGTAAAATAAGTATATTTTGATTTTGATCTCGGTAAAATATTTTTCTTTGATTTTCATCCCTTTAAAATCTAAACTATTTTTAGTCCCTAATATCATTTTAAGATGCATACATAACATTTATTTTAAGGATTTGATTTCAACATTGAATGGTTAGATATCTTTTGAATCTCTGTAAATATGTTATGTTACATATTTAGTCTATGTAATATATTTTTTATTTATACAATTATTGATGTTTATATCAATGATATACATGTGACAACCTTGATGACATGATATCATCCACAACGAATGTTATTAGTCACGTTATATGAAAACCTTATCAACCGAATACATATTAAAATCATAATCATCCAATAATTAATCACGTCTTGTTCATTGAGGAATACAAAATCCTTGTTCTATCATGATTTTGCTTGTGTCATCCTTGGTTACAAAAACATGCATAAAACTCATGGACAAATCCTAGTTTTATTAATTTTCCCTAATACTTCAAACAAGTCATTGTAATACTAAATAGTGAATATTTTAGCTTTTTATAAGATATATTGTATAAATTGATGATCTTTAATAATTATTAGAAAAGAAATTCTCAAA